CGTGAACCGTGATCCGTGAACCGACTCCTCCCGCGACACCCGCCGCGAACCGTGAACCGTGAACGAACCGAGTCTGGCGAACCGGCGGTGAACCGCCGGTTCGCGAACTGGGTTCGCGAACTGGTTCGTGAACCGCCCCCACCAAGTTCGCGCGGCGGTTCGCGAACTGGGTTCGCGAGAACTGGTTCGTGAACCGCCCCCACCAACCTACTTGCCGGGCTCATAGTCCTTCTCGTGCTTGCGCATGTACTCCATGAAGGCGCGGTTCATGCGGAGAATCACCACCATCGAGTACTCCTCCGCCTTGTAACTGAGGCGGTGACGGTGCACCACCTGCTTGGCGCAGCTGAGGATGCGCTCGCAGAAAGACTCGGCCATGAGGGCGCCGATCTGGCCGGTCGAGCAGCTCGCCATTGCCGGGAGGAAGCCAAACCGTGAAAACTGCTTCTCAAGGTCGCGGTAAAGCCGTCCAATGTCCAGGTGAAGCTGGTCGATGAGGTCGTCTTGAGGATCGAAGTCGTACTTGTCGTTCTCCTGTGAACAAGGGCGATATGAGTCCGAAAGTAAAATCCGTAAGTTATCGGGATCGAAAAGAGCGCAACCTCATCCGGCGCGCCGGGCTCGGTGAAGTACTTGCGCCACGCGCCGTCGTGATAGAGCTCGGCGCGGAACCGTTTCCAGCACTTGAAGACCCTCTTGAACTCGTCGCGCAGCGCGGCGTCGCGCACCTCAGCAGGGTCAAACTGCTCACCCTCCTCGGACGACGCCTCCTCGTGCGGGCATTGCTGGAGCGGCTTGGGCTTCTTCGAAGCTGGTGCAGGGACGACCGGAACCAGAGCAGCGGCGGCCCCCTCATCCTCAGTGCACGCCTTGCAGGTGCCGTCGTCGCCAGCAGCGGCGCGGCGCTTCTCCTCCTCGTAAGAGTCGTGAGCGAGCCCAAAGTTCACGTAGGTCTCCTCGAGTAGCGCGCACGCCTTCTGGTACTGCTCCTTCGAGAGGTGCACGCAGTTGAGGGTGCGCATGTCGAGCAGTGATGCGAGCAGCTCGCGGTCACTCGTCTCGATGTGCCCGACAGTCGTCTTGTCCTCATCCACGATCTCCGTCTCATTGCCACAGTATCGCCGCTGGAACTCGAGCTGCGCCCGCCGGAGAGCCTCTTTGCCGACCTCGCCGAGCTCCTCAACCTTTCTTGCGAGACGAGGGAGAACCTCGCCGTGGTATACGCCTTGAGCGGGTCGAAGACGTCGATGGTCTCAGCAAACAGCTTCGACTGCACCTGCGCCTTGGCAATGTTGGGCCACGCGCCAGTGAAGGGCTTCTCGAACTGCGCGGTGGTGGTGAGAACCTTGGAGATGACGAGCACGGCTTCGAGCTCCATGATGTCACGCCACGCCTCGGCCGTGCTGCGCCACTCGATCTCGCCTTCGTGCCTCGCAGCGTACTGCTTGATGGGGATCATGTCGCGCAGGGCCGAGTACAGGAGGTTCCAGCGCGCTGCGATGCGGGTGCCGTTTTTGTCAGTGCGCAGGCGAATCACGTCCCCGGCGCCAGCCAGCTTGCAAAGCTCGCTCATCCGAGTCTCGGTCTTGTTGAAGTAGGTGGCCATTTTGCCCACGTTGTCCATCACGGCTTGGCCGTCCGGGAACTCATTGATCGGAATTTTGTTTTTGGAGCGCACCAGGTCGCCGATCGCAGAGGCGCCCACCTTGTCTGCTGAGTGCATCAGGCATATCTCGGTCTCCACACCAAGCTCCTTGGCGACGGCGACGGCGGCTCCGTCCTGCATCGACGCGGCAATGATCTTTGCAGGGTCGTATTTGTACGTGTCCTTCAGCTCCCTGCGGAGCAAGTCGGCGACGGCCGGGGCAGTGCCGTCCTTAAGCGGCGTCAGCCCGAGGCAGATGACAAAGTTTTGGTTCCAGCGTGGGTCGACGAACTGAAGGCCGAAGGCTTGGTGCTTGATATGGTTGTCCAGAGTGCCGCCGTCATGCAATATCTGCCCAAAGGCGTTGCCGCCCGCCTTCTCCATCTGGTAGTCGATCACCTTTGAGAAGTAACGTTGAAAGACGGCAAATTCGGCGCGCGTGCGGTCAAAAAATCCGCCGATCGTGAGCACGGCGCCGGACTGGCCGAAAGAGCCATTGGCGTGGCGCGACCGGCACGTGCCCTGCACTTGGAGCATATTCACATAGTACGGGTCGCGCAGGGTCTGCTTGGAGAGCACTTGCTTGCAGTAGATGAGGCACTGCGTCTGGGCGGCCAACTGTCGCTCCTCCCGGGAAAGCAGCGATGGGGCTGCATCGCTGCTGCTGCTGCCGACGGCACCAGACGAACCGAAAGCAGCCATCACGGTCGTCTGCCTCTTTGCTTTCTGCGAGGATCGCTCCAGCGCGTTTGGCTGCGATGAGCCGGTCAAAAATGGTGGGTGCTTGTACATATCGGCGTGCGCTGCCTTGTTGTGAGAGTTGACCTTAGACGTCTGTGGAAGGTGTTGGCCGCCCTTGTTGTTAGGCAGAAGAAAGAGGTGGTTGCAGATTTGGCCCGTGCCCTCGCCGTCCTCGTTCAATGGCTCGTACAAGCACACGTGCGTTCTGGCATGCCCCTTGTTGCCTTCGGTACGGACAGTCTCTGGGTGCGCCGACGTGAGCTCTCGCACAAATGTCATCTCAAGCGACTTGATCCCTTTTGGAAGTTCGGTGTACCAATCGGGCGGAAGCTCATCGTGCGAACGCACCTCCCAGTCCGTGGAGCAGCGCCTCTGCGATACCGCGCTCGGGTCGACAGCGATGAGCGTGCCCTCCACCGAATCAGTCTCCACCGCGGTCTCACAATCAGCTGGAGGGGGGGTGATCGTCTCGGCAGTCGATGGCGGCTCCTGCGAGGCGCCTGCCCCGGGGGTGCACTGCTTTGGAGCCATATGTGTCGACCACCGAGGGGACGAACGTCTCAATTGATGCGATTAGTTCTCGAACCGCGTTTGGGTTCGCTGCGAACCGCATTTGGGTTAGGTATATTGCATATTTGGGAGTTATCCCACAAACAACCAAACTTGCGAACCAAGGTCCGTGACATAATAACGAACTGCCGCCGCGAACTTCCCACGTAGCCAGCCCCGTGAGCCCCGTGCCTGTCACCATGAAGAAGGCATCCGAGGACACCACTGACACGGAGGAGTCGTACCACGACACGCCACCACCACCCGACACGCCGCCTCCGTACTACGGGTCTGTGCCGTACGAGCTCAGTGAGCACGGTTCGTTCAGCGATCCGCGGCGCTTCTCGGTCGGCCTCCTGCAAGAGGCTGGCTACCTCGACGAGAACCTGCAGCGGTGTAAGCGTCTGAGGGCCGACTCGCCCGTTCCGTTTGCCGGGCCGGACGCGTCTGCACCGCCTGACCTCGAGCCGGCCACGTCTTTCGCGGAGCTGCGCCGCCGGGCCGAGTTGGCCAATAAGAAGGTGGCAGCGGAGGCGGAGGCGGCGGCGGCGGCGGCGGCGTTCGAGCAGAAGCCGGCAGTCGCCGATTCCGAGGTCTGCGTCCCCACATCAGACACACCGCCCCATCCAGCTGATCGTCGCTTTCCCTCCACAGGAGGCGGTGCTACCCCTTCCGCTTCACCCGGAGCTGGGCGGCGAGGAGGGCCACTACCAGACCGTTTGGCGCCGCTCTACCGCGGTCAACGAGTTTGGGATGGCTCTGTTTGTTCCCAAGCCCGAGCCATCCTCTGCCCACGGCGGCTCCGGCCGCCACACGATCAAGATCGACCACGACCCACCGTCCCCGGTGGCGGTGCGGTTTGAGCCGGAAAAGTAGATGCCCACAAGTGCGAGCGTCCGGCTGGGCGGCCACTGTATATCAGGGCTGAGGGGCGACAGACGGCTGGCGGGCAGAGGCACAGGTAGCCCAGCGTCTCGTCGAACTCCCCTCGAGGAACTCCCGCCACTTTGTTCCGGCTTTCGCCGCGCTGGTTCGAATTTCTGGGTCTCGGTTCACGGATGGTTCGCGAACTGTGGTTCGCGAACTGTGTCGGTGTGTAAGAGGTGTGAAAATAAGCTTGGTTCATGAACTAGTTCAGTGGTTCACCCTCGAACCGACCGTGAACTCTGAACCGTGAACCCGAACCGAGGCAGGACAAACCAGGGCGAACCGCGAACCGTGAACCGACTAGCCCCCGCCCCGAGTCCGTGAACCCTGAACCGTGAACGACCAGACCCCGCCCCGAGTCCGTGAACCGCGAACCGTGAACGAGCCGTGAACCGCGAACTGGTTCATGAACCGGGTTCACGGTTCACCCCGTGAACTGAGAGGCCTGTCTCCGGCACAGCGACAGGCTCGACACAGGTGCGGACTGGCGCGTGCTAGCACTATCACAGGCAAACCAAGTCCGTGCGAGGGCATAAAATAAATTGATAATCTCAATCCGCCAGCAGCGCACGCGTACCCACCTTAGCGTTCACCTGCTATCCGCCGGTACCCAAACCGGATGCATCTCCGCACGACCCAGGAATGCAGTTTTGCGACGGTGTATCAGTCGCCTTATGCCACCGTTGCACTGTATCAGTCGCCTTATGCCACCGTTGCATATGCAACGGTGGCATAAGGCGACTGATACACCGTCGCAGTTGCGACGATCTTCGTGAGGTTTGGCGTGGTCGAGAGCGCAAGAGGCCGCCGACGCGGCCGACGCGAAGCATGACGTCGCCGTGGACCGGTTCAAGGCGACCGGCTCCGCTGGGAGCGCCAAGCGCTCCGCCAAAGCTCGCCAAGCGGAAGCGCTCCGCTGCCGCTGCGCGCGCCGGCGCGCGGCACAGGCCACCATCGCTTAACGCGTAGGCTGCGCGTAGGACAGGGTACAGACTTTTCGTTAATCAGCCTCGCGCGCCGCCTCGCGCGCCGCCCGTGCCGCCACCTCCTCCGGGCTATCGAAATACTCGGGCCATGGAAACCGCGGGTGGCCCTTCGCGCCGCCGTTGGGCCCGTACCGGAACGGCTTCGCCGCGCCCATCGCCTCGAGCTCGGCCATGTGCGCCTCCGACAACTCGAAGTCGAAGGTGTCCAGATTCGCCGCCATGTACGCCGGCGTCTTCGACTTTGGGATCGCGACAACGCCGCGCTGCGTGTGGAAGCGCACGAGGACCTGCGCCGCGCTCTTGCCGTACGACGCACCGATCGCGGCGATGCCCGCGTCGCCGAGCAGCGACGGGTCGGAGTCGGTGCGCGCGCGCACATTGTCGGGCGATCCGAGCGGCGAGTACGCGGTCACGACGATCTTGCGGGCGCGGCAGAAGTCGAGCAGGCTCGTCTGCGGCAGCAGCGGGTGCGACTCCACCTGATTGACCGCGATCGGGATCCCGCTCTTCGTAGAGACCAGTACGTAGTCGATCGCCGCGAGCTGCGCCTGGTTGAAGTTGCTCGCGCCGATGCTGCGCGTGAGCCCGGCGCGGACGGCGGCCTCCATCCCGCGCCACGTCTCCTCGAGCGGCACGTCGCCGGGCGAGCCGTCGGCGCGCGGCGCCTCGAAGTCCCACATCGGGCCGCTGCCGTCGGCGCGGCGCGGGAAGTTCTCGGCGACGCCCTCGGTCCGCGCGAACGCCATCGGCCAGTGCACCAAGTAGAGATCGAGGTACTCGAGCTGCAGCTGCGCCAGCGTGTGGCGGAGCGCGCGCTCGACGTCGCGCTGCTCGTGCTTCGTGTTCCAGAGTTTCGAGACGACGAAGAGCTCGTCGCGCCGAATCTCGCCGGAATCGAAGAGCTCCTTGAGCGCCGCGCCGATTTCGGCCTCGTTGTCGTAGCAATGGGCGCAGTCAATGTGGCGGTAGCCGCAGCGGATGGCAGCTTTCACGGCGTCGCCCACGACGCCGTCCTTGGATTTCCAGGTGCCGAGACCGACCAAAGGCATGTCGAAGCCGCTTGCGAGGCGGACGGTGCGCGGAGAGGCGGCGGCGGCGGGCGCGGCGGCGCCGATGGTGGCGGCGGCGGGCGCGGCGGCGGCGACGCAGGCCGAGGACATCGACGCAAATCTGCGAGGATTTGCGACTCGCTTTAGCCGCCGTCGATCCCCGCGTGGTGCTTTGTCCAAACCACCCGTAACTCGTCGACGGGTGCGGGATCGCGGCGCAGTCAGTGCCGTGGCGATGCCTCCGGCTGTTTGCGGTCGTAGAGCTCTGCGCGACACAACAAGGGCTTACCCGGGTATCTCGAGGTTCTCGAGGTGGATATCCTTTGGCCGCGTTGGGTTATGCTCTGGCGAGATGTGAGGCGCATGCGCCCAGGAGGGGAGGGCGCATGCGTAACGACGCTGCTAGAGATGCCTTTCGGGGCCCAGAGATAAAACTTCTGATGCCATGCATGGCCTAGTAGTGTCCCCAGCTATGGGCGTGTCCACGTTGGAGCCAGGTGTGGTGTGGGCGCCAGAATAGCTCCGCCGTTCATGGAGGCAACCGATACGAGTCGACTGGTGTGTCCTCGTGGTTTCGTATCAAGAATACTCACTCACACGTAACACCAGCCAAAACGCGCGATCGCTCACGATTTGCGCGCCGCGCCACGCCGCTCTGCAAGTGCAGGAGCCGGAGGGCGGGGCCAGGCATGAACACAGACCTCAGAGCACCCTCTCCATGATGAGCGTGCGCGGGTTGCGCGCCGAACGGCTGCGATCGTGTCATGGTGTCGTGAAGTGTAAAGGCACTAAGCAGAGCCGCCGCGCCCCGCGCCCCGCCCGCCCCGCCCGCCCCGCCCGCCGCGTCCACGCCCGCCTCGCCCGCCTCGCCCACCGACCGCCGCCGTGGCGCCCACGGGCTGAGCCTGGGGCACGGTGCGCGAGGGCGGCTGGTGAACAAACGTCGACTGCGCCGCCACCAGCCGCCCAGTTGCGGCGATGGGCAGCGCCGGCTGGCGGCAGGCCGGGCAGTTGGTGTCGCGCTCCAGCACGCGCGGCGCACACGTCTCGCAGTATAGCGCGTGGCCGCACGCGAAACGGACCGAGCGCGGCGCGTCCCAGCAGAGGTCACACAGGCGCTCCTCGGCCCCAGCCGTCTCCTCCACCTCCCGCGCCGCCTCGACCAGCGCCTCCAGCCGCGGCAGCGCCTCTGCGAGCGGCATCCGCTTCTTCTTCCGCTCGTACGCCAGCCCGACCACCAGCCGCGTCAGCTCCTCGGCCTGCGCCGCCGACCAGCCCGCGTCGGCCGCCGCGATGCTCTCCGCCGTGTCGGGCTCCTCCAATTCATCCTCGCACGCGTTGAGCAAGCCGAGAGCGCCGCGGCCGGTCAGGGCGACGAGAAGCGTGATGCCGAGCGCAAAGCCATCGGTGAGCTGAGAAGCCTGACCGTCGTGCATGATGATCGAGTCCATGTAGCCGGGCTTCCCAAAGATGCGTTGCGTCGACAGGTGCGAGACCTGTCCATTGCCGCCGGCCGTCGCCTCTGCCGCGCGCGCGAGGCCCACGTCGGCGAGGTACCCGTTGCCGCGCTCGTCGAGCAGGATGTTGCCCGCCGAGACGTCGCGGTGCAGGATCATCGGTGAGCGCGTGTGCAGGTAGTGCAGCGCGCTCGCGGCGTCGCGCAGCACGCGGAGCCGTGCGGCGGAGGAGAGCGGCGGAGGCGGCGTCTCGAAGCCGAGCATGCGGAGTCGCTGCAGCGCGGCTGGAGCGCGGTAGAGGCGGTCCTCGAGGCTGCCGCCGCGGCAGAGGGGGTAGACGAGGCACGCTCTCGCCCGTGCCAAGCAGACGCCGAGCAGAGGGAGGAGCGACCGGTGGCATGCCGCGCTGAGCGTGCGCACCTCGCTCTGCAGCTCGGCGAGGCCTTGGGCGCCGACACCGACCAGCGCCGTCTTGACGGCGAACCCGCAAGCGACGCGCGGAAGCGACGGCAGCGCGTCGGCGCGGTACACGCGCCCAAAGCCCCCCTCGCCCACCTTGTGCGCCTCGGCAAAACCGTCGGTCGCCGCGATGAGCTCGTCGAGAGGGACGGCGGCGGGCGGCGCGGCGGCGGCGGCGAGGGCGGCGACACTCGACGCCGCCCCCGCTGCCACCGCTGCCCCCGCCGCTGCCTCCGCTGCCGCCTCCGCTGCCGCCTCCGCTGCCGCCGCCTCTTGAGCCTCCGCTGCCGCCGCTGCCTCCGTTGCCGCCGCCTCCGCCTCTGCTGCCTCTTGAGCCTCTGCTGCCGCCACGGCCGCCACTGCCGCCTCTACAGCCGCCGCCTCCGCCGCCGCCTCCGCCTCCGCCTCCGCCCTCATCCGCGCCTCCTCCCTCATCCGCGCCTCCTCCCTCTCCCTTGCCGCCTCCTCCCTTGCCCTCGCCTCTGCCTGCTCCCCTGCGCGCGACGCCGCCTCCGCCTCCTCCGCCGCCCGCGCCGCCGCAGCCTCTACTACCACCCGATCCGCTTCCTCCGCCACTCGCGCCTCCTCCGCCACTCGCGCCTCCTCAGCCGCCCGCGCCTCCTCCGCCTGCTCCGCCGCCCGCTCCGCCGCCCGCGCCGCCGCCGCCGCCGCCTTCTCCTCCTTCTGCCGCTGCCGCTTCAGCGGCTTGGCCAGCTCGTCGCGCAGCCGCCGCGCCGCTCGCAACGCCTCCGAACCGTCGGCGGCCTGGGCGGTGTTTGCGTTGATCGCCGCCCTGAGCGCCTCGAGATCGGCGTCGCCTCGCTCGCACGCCTCAACCGCCTCGCGCAGCGCAGCCTCGGCAGCATCGCGCGCCTCCGCCGCCTCCGCAGCCGCTGCCGCCTCGCGTGCGGCCGCCGCAGCCTGTTCGGCTGATTCTGCGACCGCCGTCTTCCCCCCCGCCTCTGCTGCGGTCGACGAGTGCTCCTCGAGGGCGCGCACGCACTCGGCGTGGTCGTTCTCCTTGGCCCATTGAAGCGCCGTCTTGCCGTCAACAGTAGGCGTTGTGTCTGCGCCCGCCTGCAGCAAGCGCCGCACGACAGCGGGGAGGTTGAGGAAGGCGGCGCACATCAGCGCGGTCCAGCCTTTGATGTCCTGCAGGTTGATCTCAGCACCGTGCCGTATCAGCAGCTCAACCACACGCTCGTGGCCGTTGCCGGCGGCGTACATCAGCGCGGTGCCGCCTTTGCTGCTCTGCAGGTTGACGTCAGCGCCGCGCCGTATCAGCAAGTCGACCAACCGCTCGTGGCCTTGGCTGGCGGCGATCATCAGCGCGGTGTCGCCGTCGCTGTTCTGCAGGTTGATCTCTGCGCCGTGCCGAATCAGCAGCTCGACCACCCGCTCGTGGCCGTGCTCGGCGGCGCCCATCAGCAACGTGAGGCCGCTCACGCCGCCTCTCTCGTACGTCGCGTTGGCCCGCCCGCCGCCCTCAAGCCACTCCAGTATCGCCGCCTCCTCGCCTCGCCCAGCCGCTGCCACGATCGCATCGGAGGCTGCCGCGCCACCGCTCGGCGCCCGCCCCGCCGCCGCCGCTGGAGATAGCGTCTCCGCGACTCTCGATCCAGCCGAGGAAGCGCCGCAGGAGGAAGCGCCGCCTGCGCCTTCGCCGCCGGCTGCCGTCGCCGCGGGCCGTCCCGCCACGACCGACTCCTTGACGTGCTGCCGGAACGCCTCGATGCACTCGGCGTGGCCCTTCTCCTTGGCCAGCTGCAGCGCCGTTTTGCCGCCCGCACTGCGCGCCGCGGTGTGTGCGCCCGCCCGCAGCAAGCGCCGCACGACGGCGGGGTGGTTGAAGAGGGCGGCCATCATCAGCGCGGTGAAGGCGAGGCTGTCCTGCAGGTTGACTTCAGCGCCGCGCCGAATCAGCAAGTCGACCACCCGCTCGTGGCCGCAGTTGGCGGCGGCCATCAGCGCGGTGATGCCGATGCTGTCCTGCTTGTTGATCTCCGCGCCGTGCTGCAGCAGCAGCTCGACCACCCGCTCGTGGCCGTTGCCGGCGGCGTACATCAGCGCGGTGCCGCCTTTGCTGCTCTGCAGGTTGACGTCAGCGCCGCGCCGTATCAGCAAGTCGACCAACCGCTCGTGGCCTTGGCTGGCGGCGATCATCAGCGCGGTGTCGCCGTCGCTGTTCTGCAGGTTGATCTCTGCGCCGTGCCGAATCAGCAAGTCGACCACCTGCTCGTGGCCGTAGCGGGCGGCGCCCATCAGTGCGGTGCCGCCGTCGCTCCTCTGCAGGTTGACCTTCGCCCCACGCCGCAACAGCAACAGCACCACCCGCTCGTGGCCGAACACGGCGGCGCCCATCAGCAACGTGAGGCCGCTCACCTCACCTCTCTCGTACGTCGCGTCGGCCCGCCCGCCGCCCTCGAGCCACTCCAGCACCGCTTCCTCCTCGCCTCGCCCAGCCGCTGCCACGACCGCATCGGAGACTGCCACGCCACCGCTCGGCGCCGCCGCCGCCGGCGACAGATTACCCGGCCGCACCCGCACGCTCTCGCCGCCGCCCTCGAGCGCCACCGCGTACCGCCCGCCCTCGAAGCTCTGCGCCTCGCCCCGCTGCCCGTTGAGCTCGGGGCGGGAAGAGAGCCCGCCGAGCACGACTCGCTGGCCGAGCAGCGGCGCGTCCACCGCTGCCGCTGCCGCGCCCGAGGAGGCACCGCCCGCCCCTGACCGGCCGTCTGCAGCCGCCGCCTCAGCCAACACCTTGACGCACGCGGCGTTGCCCTTCTCCTTGGCCCACTGAAGCGCCGTCTTGCCATGTGCAAAGGAGCGAGCCTTTGTATCTGCGCCAGCCCGAAGCAAGCGCCGTACGACGGTGGGGTGGCCGCTGTAGGCGGCGCCCATCAGCGCGGTGCCGCCGTCGCTGTTCCGCTGGTTGATCTCCGCCCCGTGCCGCATGAGCAACTCGACCACACGCTCGCGGCCGTTCTCCGCGGCGTACATCAGCGCGGTGTAGCCGCTGCTGCTCTGCAGGTTGACCTCTGCGCCACGCCGAAGCAGCAGCTCGACCACCCGCTCGTGGCCGTAGTCGGCGGCGAGCATCAGCGCGGTCCAATCTTTGCTGTTCTGCAGGTTGATCTCCGCCCCGCGCTGCAGCAGCAGCTCAGCCACCCGCTCGTGGCCGTGGTTGGCGGCGCCCATCAGCAGCGTGACGCCGCTCACCTCGCCTCTCTCGTACGTCGCGTCGGTCCGCCCGCCACTTTCAAGCCACGCCAGCACCGCCTCCTCCTCGCCACGCTCCACCGCTAGCACGGCCGCGTCGGAGCAGCTCAGGGATCCTGCGCCGCTGCTACGCTGGCGTGCAGGGCCGATCCCAAGCTCACAACCACTCACCATGTTTGGGTTCCGGCTCTTTTGAGGGTGGGTAAGCGCAGGGAGGCCACTCGACTACTAAGAACCCCGGTCCGGGCGAGTTGGTCGGTCGGAGTGCTGCTGTCGTGCTGCGCGACTCCGCACCCTGCTGGCGCCGGTCGAGCGCGCGAGCTCGCGTGGGGGGGGGGCAGGATTTGTTGATTGATTGATAGAAAGGCGAAGAAAAGCCTGGCTCGGGCTGGACAATAAGGGGTGCACAGATTGGGGTGTTTCCACAATCAAACCGTCCGTGTACCGTGAAGAGTGCTTGATTCACGGACAGCGATTGATTGATTGATGGGAAGGCGAAACACAGTACAGCGAGGCTGCCCGCATGTTCAATCGTTGCCCGCAAGCGGAGCTCCCCACCGGCGGGCTTGAAGACACTGAGCCGAGCGCGCCGGCGGCGGACCGCCGCCGGCGCGCTTGCTTCGGCGGATGGCTGAGCGGCACAGTTTCTGGCCGCCCGGCCTGCGAGCTGTCGCCGAGACGAGGGTTGCGGCGGGAAAGGGAGCGTGGAGGCTGGCGGAGGCGTGGGCGAGGTGGAGGGCGGGCGGCGATCGTCTGTGTGAGCTTTCCTATCAAGCCTCTAATGCTTCGTTGTCCATCGTCCGCTGCTGTACAACTCTGGCCGTCTCTTCCTTCGCAAGGGCCCCGCCCCCCAGAGCTCCTGGGGGCGGGGCCCGCGCAGGGGACCTCTAGTGGCCATGATCTCTCGCAGAGATGCGTCCGTCCCTCGAACCTAGCTCGGCAGCGTGACGATCTAGCGCCGCGTGAGCTCGATGGGCGACGCGAATCGGACGATAGCGCCCCCGTCGCTGATGAATCGGCTCAACAACCCCGCCTCCTCCTCAGCCAGCCTACGCGCCGCTGCGGTCGCCGCCGCCACCACCGACGACGTGCCCTCCAAGGTCACCTTTGTCAAAGCAGACGGCGGTGGCATGGGCGGGCGGTGGCGCAAGGCCATGACTCTGCTCAAAGTGAGCGGTGTCGGTCGCGCCGCCATCGCCGAGGAGGACGAGTCCGTCGCGTGGCGGGCGAGCCTAGATGCCACAGCGGAGGCGGCCGCGATTGCATGCACATGCACATGCTCATGCACATGTGCATAGCACACCTCTCCGGCGATTGGCCCATGCGGGGGTGCGCGGTGCCGCCGCGTCAGGTCGGAAGGCCCGTCGAACGAGCTCGTGCCTGCAACGCCCTACGCGCGCAAGAGCCGGGCGTGGGGCAGCGGACACTTGTTTGAGCACATCGTGAGTCGCAGCCGACACGCCACAACCTCCTTCGCTCTCCCCCGACGGGCTAGCAACACGACCCCTCAGGTGCTCGATGGCCGCACCGAGCTGGCGTCGGCGATAAACGAGGAGCTGCGCGACGGCGACGGCGTCTCTTACGGCTGGGCGGACCCCCACACAGTGGACGTGAGCTCTTATGCCGTCAGGTGCGTCGGCTGTCTGGGAGAGCCCTTCATGCATGCTCCACTGGCAAATCCCCGCTCCACCAGCCCAATGCTCTCACCACCGCGACTGCCTCGCATGCTGTCAGCCCTGAGCTCCACCTCGACGCCGGCATGCGCGCTCGTGGTGGCTGGCGCGGGGAGCTGGCCTGCCAGCGGGGGCACAAGGCGTACGGCCTCGCGATGAGGCTCATCCAGGAGGCGGCGAGGCTGACGGAGTCCATCAAGACCCAGCCTGACAGCCTCGACTCTCGGTGTCGCGCGACCGGGTGGTGGGCTGCTGTCACATTGCCTCTTCCCACACGCTCGCTGCCCTACGACAGGTGGATGGCGGCGGAACGCGACGGGCTGCTCCGCCGCTTCCTGACAGGCCGGAAGGAGCATAGCCCCCGCCTCGGCATCGTGGACGCGGAGGCGCTCTGTACGCTGGCGACGGCGTGCGCCGACGTCCTCCGGCAACAGCCGACTGTGGTGCGGGTGCCGGCACCATGCAAGGTGTTTGGCGACGTGCATGGGCAGCTCCGCTCGCTGCTGCTGCTGTTCGCCTCGTTTGGCTTCCCAAGCCACTTGGCCGGGGACGTACAAGGGGTGTGTTGCACTTTCATGTTGACCCGAGGCTGTGCACGGCATCCCTTCAAGCAGGCTCGCCGTTACCAGGTGAGCTACATCTTCAACGGCGACTTTGTCGACCGCGGCGTGCACCAGCTCGAGGTGGTCGCCCTCCTCTTCGCCCTGAAGCTCGTCTACCCCGAGCGCATCTATCTGCTGCGCGGCAAACCATCGACCAGCATCGCAGCGTCCGTGCGCGTCGCTCCTAATTTCGTGGTCGTGAGCACAGGGAATCACGAGTTTCGCGACATGAACGAAAAAATGAGGCTCGAGGGCTTCCGCTACCATTGTGCGACGCGCTTCGCCTACATGCCGTCAACAGTCTGGATGCGAACCTACGAGTACATCCATGACGCCTTTGACTTGCTTCCGCTCGCGGCACAGCTCGGTTGGCGCCGCGGTATGCGCCGCAGGTACCGGGTCGCTTTACGTCTCCGTGTGGACAGGCGCGACTCGGCGGCGCGGTGCTTGTGGTGCATGGCGGCGTCGGCGACGGCAGCTGGGACACCGCCAGCTTCCGGGAGATCGAGAGGCTGTGAGCGACGCCTCTTCATGCGCCGCGGTGTAAACAGGACATTAACGATTTGGAGGGTGTCGAGAGGCCGCTCACGGCGCTCGAGGTGGAGGAGGGGGAGCGTGCATCGATTCAAAAGCGCGGGATGCTTCCCCAAAGCAACCCTCTGGCGGCTACCTGCCCACAAGCGGGGCGTGATTGCGGTAGGCGCGCCGCTTTCCACGCGATGTGGAGCGACCCGAGCGACTCGGACGCAATCATGCGCAGCGGCGTCCACTCGTCCTTTCGAGGCGAGTGCATGCGAGCGAGTCGCGTAGGCTGGGGCTGGCTCCCTGCTGTGCAGCGTGCGGCAAAGCGGCTGCCCTCTCCCCCGAGCCGAGCCAAGATTCTGCCCGTTCAGGCGAGGCGATCCCAGAGTTTGGTCCCGATATCACCGGCGAGTTTTGCACGCGGAACAATATCAGCCTCGTGATCCGTTCGCACCAGTTTGTCAAGGAGGGCATCGCGTGACGGCGCTCTCCTGCTGTGAAAAGACGCGGTTCACTGCTCGGTGCGTCAACAGGAGGGTTTCAAAGTAATGCACTCTGGCCACGTCGTCACCGTGTTTTCCGCGCGCGACTACTTTGTCGGCAAGGCCCACGCCCCCGATTACCAACGCGAGCATTGTGCGCGCGCCGACGCCAACGAGGGCAACGATGCGGCGATGCTATTGCTCGCACCCGACCGGAACGGCGACCTGCGCGTGCACCCGAAGCGGATCTCGTCGTGCTCCTCCGGCATCAAGTCGGCCGTGCGGCAGCAGGAGCGTTTTACTCTCTCGGCCGGTGTGTTGTGAGCGGCGCCTCTTCACGCCCCGTCCTGTGAACAGGAGCGAATCGACATCCTCATGGGCGTGCGCCGGATCTTGATGTGGGCCGTGACGTGCGGCGCCGTCCCGCTCGTGCCACCCGTGAGGGAGTACCGCTCACATCGCTCGTCACGCAAGGCATCAAAGGGCGACTCGCTGGACGGAGCCGCTGGAGAAAAGAGCCCCCGCCCGCGCCGTTCCCCTCGCTCGCGCGCCCGGTCAGAGTCGCACGGCCGGCGATCCCGCTCTCGCTCCCGCTCCCCTACCCGCGAGACCGGGTGCGAGCGTCCCGAAGGAGCTCGCTCCGCGGCGGCGGCGTGACTGAGCGCAGGTGCCGGCCGCTGTGAAGTGAGCCGGCCCAGAGATGGAGAGGCAGGTTCTGACTTCTGTTTTTTCGAGAGGAATTAGGGGGGCTAGCTCCCTGTGTTCCCTTTAGTACCCCGTTGAGTTGGCGATTTTCCACACATACACACTTCCTCGCCAATCCCATGCATGCACATGTGGCAATGCACACCGAGAACTAATTGCGCACGGAACACTGCACACACAAAGAATACAACAGAGCCTCGACGGCTGGGCGTGGGGCCTCCAGCTCCTCGCGCCATCAAAAGTTATCCCATGACGATGCCCCAAACGCGCACATGCACGGGTGGCAGCCACACGGCTCCACGGGTCACGACATCTCTCAGCCACGTGTGAGAGGTGGGCGGGAAGCAAGGTAACAACCACATGTCCACATCCACAACGGACAATTCACGCACCACGCCAGGGCTCGCACTCGACGGGCGGGCCCGCGCCTTGTGCAGCCCGCGCCTTGTGCAGCCCGCGCCTTGTGCACCCGTCGGCAGCCTGCGGCCTCACCTCCTCGTCACTTCGTCGGCTCCGCCTACCCAGACCTCTCCGCTCATTCACAGCCTTCTTTTGTCGGCGCCTCGCACCTCAGCCGGCTCCGCCGTCCACGCGCCGCTTGGAGACGGCAGCACCACCGCCAACGGGGGGGTGCGGTCGCGGTGCGGCGGTCGTGCTGTCCCGTCGGCCAGCGCCCGCTCTAACGACCAAATCAGTGAAGAATGAAGATGCGAGAGGGCGGCGAGGCAGACGAGCGCAGCCCGCGAGGCCGCCTGAGCCGCCGCCGTAGCCCGCCGCCTCGTTTGCCGCGGCGCTGATTGTCTTGAGTGCCGCCGACAGCCCGTCTGCCCGCTCCTGCTGCTGCGCCGTCGCCTCCCTCGCCTACTCATGAGCTGTTCATTAACCACGCCCGCTCTCTCCTGCCGCTGCGCCGCCGCCTCCGCCGCCTCGCGCAGCTGCAGTCTGCTCTCACGCAGCCGGCGCAGCGCCTTGGCACACGCCTCTGCCGCCCGCCCGTCGCCGCCGCCCGCCGCCGCCTCGGCAAGCGCACTCTCGAGCTCCTACGCGACATGTCCCGGACATGTCGTGGGCGTGCTCTGGGCACGTCCTCGGGGAAGCGCACTCTCGAGCTCCTACGCGACATGTCCCGGACATGTCGTGGGCGTGCTCTGGGCACGTCCTCGGGGAAGCGCACTCTCGAGCGCCGCGTCGTCTGCGTCCGACGCGTCGGAGCTGCTCGCGATGCTCGGGCTCCTAGAATTGTACAACTAGAGAAGGTTCCTAGAAGGTTCCTAGAAGGTTCGGAGCTGCTCGCGATGCTCGAGCTCCTCGCCGCGCCGACGGCGACCTCGGCGTCAGCGTCCGTCTTGATGGCGCGCGCGGGCCCGTTCTTCTTGCTCCACGACTTGCGCCGCCCGGGCTCCTTGCCGACCGACTTGCGGTGCTCGTGGTGCAGCGTCACCTGTTCACACGCCGCGCCCCGCGTGAGCAGCGCCTCCCCTGCGGGCGCAGCACTTGCGGCGCTCGTGGTGCAGCGCCAGGTCGGAGCGAGAGTACGACCTTGAGAGGGAGGTTGGCACCTTCCACGCCCGCGCCACCGCCGCAGGAGTCGAGGGCGAGCCGACGGACGCGGCGAGCGACGCGCCTGTTCACACCGCAGAGGTGTGAACAGGCGCTGTTCACACCCTCGAGCCGGCGGACGCGGCGAAGAGCGGCGCGCAGTGCCTCATCGCCTGAGGATTGGGGGTGCGGGCCGCTCACACTTCTCCCCCACCCCACACACACCAGGCGAGAGGCGAGGGGGGTGGGGCGAGGGGGGTGGGGCGAGGACGCGAGGGGGGGGGGGCCGCCGGCGAAGGTGCTTGACCGCCGCGGCGAGCTCGTCGTGCAGCCTCTCGACAGCCTCCTTGCTGCCGACGCGGGACCTGATTCAGAATGAGCCCTCCAGCTGGGCACTCAGGCCGGCCCACCGGAGCTCTGGCCCCCGGGGCGGGACTCGGTGTGCAGCGCCAGCGAGTTTGTCTGCTCGTAGTCTCGCACCAGCATCGAGGACAGCAGCCGCATCAGCGCCTGCAGGTAGTCAGCGAATTCGTATCCATCGTTCTCCATTAGTTCACAGCAGCCTGCACCAGCGCCTGCAGGTCGTTTGACTCTCGCGCGCTCTTGAGCTGCGTCGTCGCTGCGCCGATCCGGTCGCAATTCGGCGGCGGCTCTGCGCGCCACGCGTCCTTGCCGTCGAGCGAGTCGAGCTCGCGCGCCGCCGCCGCCCACTCCACCCAAGGACCGGCCGCCTGCTGCCACCTCGAGGTGTGAAGAGGCGGCAGCGGGGCTGTTCCACCCGAGGACCGGCCGCCTGCAGCGTGCGGCGGAGCGCGACGCGGCGAGAGATGGAGCCTCCGCGGTACCAGCGCGAGGTGGACTCGAGGACGTACCAGACCTTGGACGCTATGTTGAGCAGCGAGACGCACAGCACCGACAGGGCGATCATCGCCATCTGCCACGCGACAAAGATGAGCTGTCCGGCAAGGAAGGCGGCGGCGAGGCCGGTCCACATGACCCACCGAAAGTACTGGCGGACGGTGACGACGGCGAGGACGGAGAGGAGGCACATCTGCCACGCCGACGCCTCCGCCGTAAGGCTCCACAGCGCGCTGCCCAGCTCCATCGCCTCGTGGAGCGGGTGCGACGCGAGCTGGATGGCGTTCGAGACGCAGGTGTCGTAGGCGGCGTGGACGGCGCCGCCGCACCACTGCGGCGGCGCAGCGACGGCAGAGACGTCCGCCGCCTCGCAGCTCATGCCTGTGTAAATAGCAAGAGGGCGGGGCGTCGCGTTTCTTGCTGGACGACGGCGATTTCCAGCGATGCGCCCGCGATGCCCGCGACGTGCGTCCCTTGTCAACACGCCGCGAGCTGGGATAGGACCGCCGCAAGCGGCGAGAGAGAGAGAGAGAGAGAGAGAGAGAGAGAGAGAGAGAGAGAGAGAGAGAGAGAGATGCGATGGCGAAAAACTCGTCTCGCCACACGCCAAGGGCTTATGCTCTGGCGAGACGTGAGGCGCATGCGCCCAGGAGGGGAGGGGGCATGTGTAACGACACTGCTAGAGATGCCTTTCGGGGCCCAGAGATAAAACTTCTGTGATGCCATGCGTGACCTAGTAGTGTCCCCAGCTATGGGCGTGTCCACGTTGGAGCCAGGTGTGGTGTGGGCGCGAGAATAGCTCCGCCGTTCATGGAGGCAACCGATGCGAGTCGACTGGTGTGTGTCGTCGTGGTTTCGTATCAAGAATTCTCTCTCTCTCTCCGCCGCAAGCGGCG